ACTCATATTCACATTAATTTACTATAAAACTGAATGAGAATATTAGATAATATAAATATGAGTGAAATCACGCCTAAAAATTAATGTGAATATGAGTCAAACTACAACTAAAAATTTAATGGACATATTGCAAGTAAATTCATATGTAAAATTCCTTTGCGAATTAAATGACCATCTATCTTTTGAAGACTTCAAGATATTAATAAACAGATATGTTGTACTATATCAATGTGTGTTTATAACTCACAAATAGTAGATCGCGTGACCGCAGTCTGAGTTGAAAAAAATAATGACAATATTTTATATGAGAGATAGATTATTGAGTTGATGATCAATCCCACAAAAGACTTAATTTTCTTTTTTATTTTTATTTAATTTTTTATCAATTTAAATAATCATCATATTCAACCACGCGCATTCCACGTGCATCTCAACTAGTATTAAAAATATATATATATATATATATACTTTGTTAAAAACCAGGCGAGGGTATAAGGGGATGTTCGGTTCAACAAAGGAACCCTCTAGAAAATATCCTAACTTACTCATTTAGAAAAGAGTAATTTCATTATTTTCTGTTTCTCTTCTTTGGTTTGGCAAAAGAAAGGAAAAATAAAAGAAAGAAAGAGGAAAACGTATTCCAAAACAAGCTTTCTTAAACCAGGGAGATGTGTTTCTTTCCAAAAGGTTTATTTATTTAATTAAATATTATTATTTTTTTCAATAACCAAACAGCTCCTTATTGGTTTGTACAAGGCCCAACTATAAAATCCAACCCAAAAGCCCTCCGCATCCAAATCAACAGCAGCTCCTTCCACAAACGGCCCTGATCAAAACCAACCACCCCAACCCTCACCTATATAAATCCTCAATCCCCTCACCATCCGTCTCTTCTCAAAACCCTAGACTCCAAGCACCAGCAGCCGATCACAGAGTAAAAAAACCCTAGCCCTAATCCCCCATTTCCTCTCATCCCCCCAGCTCGACTTCAAAAAAAACTTAATCTTTTTTCTTGTTCTTGTGCAGGGCACGATGAAGTTCAACCCAAGGGTGTCCAGCTCCCGCCGCCGGGCCCACTTCACCGCCCCGTCCAGCGTCCGCCGCGTCCTGATGAGCGCCCCCCTCTCGGCCGACCTCCGGTCCAAGTACAACGTCCGCTCGATGCCGATCCGCAAGGACGACGAGGTCCTCGTCGTCCGTGGGACCTCTGCTGGCGGAGCCGCTTCGCTCCAGGAGATCGATTGAAAAAAAGCTGAGTCTTTTATCTAGTTCTTGAATTTGAGGAGTTTTGTTTCGTACTTTTTAGGTGTTTAATGGCGATGATACTGGTAGCACTCGCCTATGAATGTTTTTCAAGACTTGAGAGTTTGGTGAAGGTACTTTTTTGAATCTAGTTTGTGTTATTATGAGTAGTGTGAAGACCCCATTTTTATAGTGCTCTCTTTGATTGATTCTTGATCATTGCTTTGAAATTATTTTTGGGTGCGACTACTAATGGTAGTGTATCTAATTTTTCTGTCGGAGTAGTGTATAAATTCATTTTGTAGTGGTTTCTAGGGCTTAATTTATACACCGTGATTACATTGTGGATGGTAGTGTGAAACCTCGAGTCTTTCGAAGCTTTGTTAGTTTAGTTAGTGAGAAGCTATTCATTTGGTAATGGTACTACTAGTGCTTGTTTAGATTTTTATTGTAGGTTCAGTTATGATTCTGTGAATTTATTCAATTGTTAACCGCTGCTAAGTGTGGTGTTGGAGGCTTATTGAGGTTGCAAAAACGTCAATACTTGAGTCCGTCCAAGAGGAAATGGGGGCTGGACACCCTTGGGTTGAACTTCATCGTGCCCTGCACAAGAACAAGAAAAAAGATGAAGTTTTTTTGAAGTCGAGTTGGGGGGATGAGAGGAAATGGGGGATTAATACTAAATTAGATAAATGAAAAACAAAGATTTTGAATCCGCGAAATCAGATAAATGAAAAACAAATCGTCAAAGAGATTTATTTTATCAATGAACAAAATGAAAAAATTTAATGAAATTCTATAGGATTTCATATTTATCATTTATCACAATTTAATTACTAATACTAAATTTCAATTTAAGGAATAACAATTTCGAGACTTTTCTTAGTATCATTAAGTATTAATTAACTATTAATATAATAGTTTATTGTGTACAGAATTTCTAAATAAAACAAATTTCAATATTCATCACCCTCCACCTGCTGCGATATCCAAATGACCTAATCAACACTCTTCACCTGCCGAGACTCAAAAGTGACATACCTGCTCAAAACAAAATCAGAAACTCCCAACCGATAATCAAATGAGCCTCTGAATACCAAACACGCAATCGGATCAAATCTCACATCCTCGATGTGACCAAATGCTGGGTAACAAAATATTTGATGCCAATCAAAATCTGAAGCAACTCCATCAGATCTAATAACTCCAAAAACAGCAGTCGGTGACCTATGACTAAGATGACCCAAATATGTCGAAGCTTCAAAACCAAAATCAATGCTCGACAACCAACGTCGATCCTCCTCCAGAAAATAACGACGCATCAAAAAAATCATCTAATCTCGTCGCCCCAATGTCTCCACATCAATAAAGTGTCTCAAACTGTCATGAGCTCGACACAAACGCAAGAAAGAACCCCTACCAAAGCTAGTGTGACGGGTTACCTTTCTGTCAATACACTTATTTCAATTGTTGTCTTCTAGGACTTTACACCAACGGGAACTGATCGTGACCCAACAATGCCTAGAACAATCACCAACTGTGAAAACCAAAATACGATTACCTCCCAATGATGCCTCTTTGGAAGGCCCCCAAATGCCTAACTGAACACTACCTAAAAGACCCCTAAATCGATGGATAGAAGTATCAAACTCCACCACGATCTTCTTTGCTCATCCCAACGTGCTCAAAGGACTTCAAACTGTAGGTCAAAGCACTCCTCAACAACCAATGCACGGTATAACCAATCAAAAAACTCAGCCTCAACAAATGCCACAGTCTAGCCAAATCCAAAGAAGTCGTCAGATCTCTATCCAACACCGTGCTCCCAATCAAATAATATAAATTATTCTTTCTGACATCATTCATCACAATCATGAACCCAAATGTGACTTTCAAACGTGCATCCGTCAAGGTCACCCTATAGCCTGTTGTCTCCAAAGCTCCAAGTGAAATGCTGTTCTTTTTCAACTGAGGAACGAACTTCACTCCAACCAACTCCCGAATCACTCCGTCACTCATCCGAATACGAATGGTACCAATACCACCAATAGGACATTCATGATCATTACCCATGAGCACGACATTCATTCTTTCCAACTTCTGAAAGCTGGAGAACCAATCCCTCCTAGGACAGATGTGGTATATAGCATCCGAATCTAACATCCATTCTGTAGAGTCGGCAACACAAACTGACGAAAGTGCAGATAACGAGTAGCCCAAAGAATCCGAATCTGAATTGTTGCCACTAGCCTTGACAACATTCACCTCTGAAGCTTGAATAGCTTTCCCCTTATTCTTCCCGGCTCGATCAACTAACTTTGAGCATTCAGCTTTCCAATGTCCATATTCTTTACAAAAGACACTGATTCCTACGAATTCCAATATGTGTCCCGCTAGACTGCGATCTTCTACCATGGTTTGGACTATTTGCTCTTGCGACCAATGCCTCCGTTACCGGCTCAACTGAAGTCTCATTATCCTTCTTTCGAAGCTGATAATTCACAAGTGCAGCGGTGACATCACTATACGAAAGAGATGCATTCTCATTAATAAGAGTAAGAACGAATGTCTCATATTCCTCGTCGGGTAAGGAACTCAACAACAACGCCTTGCCCTCATCTTCAATCATCACATCTACATTCGTCAAATCCGTAAGAAGCTTCGTGTAGTGGTTCATGTGATCACCAATGGAGGTTCCCTTCTTTAATTAGAAGCGATAAAGCCTCCTCTTCAAATGCAAGCGATTTTCTATACTTTTCGTCAAATACTTGCTTTCTAGGATCTCCCAAATCTTCTTAATCGAAGTCTCATTGGTCACATCATATTTTACATCTTGAGTGAGATAAGAACTAATCACACCACACGCCGTTCGATTCATCTTCTTCCAAACATTCTCATCAATGTCGTCCGGTTTCCCGTCCAACTCCAAAGTATCTTCCAAAATTTGCGCGTTGAGCGCATCCAAGACTTTGCATCGTCAAAGTCCAAAATTGTTTGTCATTAAATTTCTCCACGTCAATTTTCATCGAGTAGATATTCAAACTTTGGACGGCCTTCACGCTGAAAGTACCCTCCACAACTCCTTTTTTCTCGATCATCTTTCTCAAAGCACCAAAACAAATGCGGAACAAACGAGGAATAAATCCAAACTGAAAAAGATAGAGTTTTTACCAAAAAGATCCCACCTTTATCACCAAACGAAGCCCTAGTCGAACTTTCAAATTTAACTACTCCTCCAAATAGCCCAAGCGTAGCTCGAGCTTTGATACCACTTGTTGTGTGCGAGTGCTCTGCGGAAGCCAAAAAACTAAACGACGTGCTTCGAGAAAACCAAATACCAAACGAACGCCGAGATAAAGGCCAAACCAATGAAATCAATGTCACAAACCAAACAAACCAATTTTAACGTGGTTCGGCAAATTGCCTACGTCCACGGGACAAGAAGGGGATGGGGTTTTCACTAATAGAGAAGAAGAGTACAAATTGAGATTACAAATCACTCGAATGAACAAATTAATCTCACCAACAAATCTCTAATTCTCTCCAAATAAAACACTAATCAATAACTCAGAAAATACCTCTTTTCTATGCTCCAAATATCCCCTTCGCTGCAAAATTCTCTCTTCCAATCGTTCCATATATATAGAAATCCTAAAACCAAAAGCATAGTAGGAATTCTAAAACCAAAACCAAAACAGATTATGAATCCTAATAACTTGTTACCAAAACAGATTTGGAATCATCTTACCAAAACAGATTAGGAATCCCAATAAACTGTTATCAAAACAAATTAGGAAACATATTAGAAACCTGCTATCCAATATGGCATTATCCTCATTGCATTACGGTTAGGTTTCGTGAACAACTTCATAAAGAGTCAAGGCAGAACTGTTCATATTTTCCCTCTCATTTTCCGTTTGGGGTTTTATGGAGAAGAATAAATAGCTCAGTTATTGTTCGTTTGGGTATATTAGATTCTTGTTCTTGGTAATGATTGAAGAGTGAGCAAACCCTTTAAACATCTTTGGATCAAGTGATAACTTTGGAGAAAATCAAGAAGAAAACCTTATCTCTTACCTGACAAAGAAAAAGACCCGATTCAGACCAAAATCCTAAATGTATCTCAAAAAAGATTCTAACCCAATTTTGTTTTAATTTAAATAATTCCTTTACCTACAGATAGACATTGAAATTATCTAAAAAATTTCAAATTACAATGGTCAATTGTTTAAACAATCTGGATTAACTAACTCCATCTGTCAATCGCATCAATGACTTCCACATACACTCGCTCATGAGTCTATATTTAGAATCCAATTGGATGGTGAGCATCTGGAATGAGATAGCAATTGATCTGGCAAGAAATGAAAGACAGTTAATTTGGATTCACAAGCTTGATGAGAGGCAAATGGTCTGAATATAAGAGATTGCACCGTAGTTGTTGCTGACTTGACAAAAGTGGCCTTCTAGTGGAATCTGATATCTTATATTCAGATAAACCTATCATCATTGATCCCCCAATAAACTTTCGCTTAACTCTTTCAAAACTTGAATACTATTTGGGAATGGAGCTCAATTATCATGCCTAACATTTAGTTATTTCCTTCCACTAACCAGTGTATCCATCTATTTGTTTCTCCAACCAAATTCTGCAGATTCCGTGATGTGATGCAGCCTCAGAGAAATTTCTTAAGAGGAGCTTTGACTTTGATTTATCTAGGAAGGCAGGTTGAAATCAAAAGCGAAAAAACTTTGCTTGAATTTATATTCTACTCATTCTTCCTATGCTTACATAAACTTCAGAGTGTCACCATCATATCAATGAAGCTTGGTCAGATATGTATTATAATGCTGCTTTTTTCCTGCACAAGGTATTTAATTTCCATTTCCAATCCTATCCATGGAGGTTGCAGATTATCATGAGATAAGTTTTAATGGTACGCTTTGAACATCTGGCTTAACTGAACAAGGATGACAATATTGGGGAACATTCGCAAGAAGGGCATTCTATTGCATAGTTATTCTTTCTAAATTTTGCAAATTCATGTTTTCATACTAGTTTAAACAATGAGAAAATAGCTCGATGCTTACTGTATCTATGAAATATATGATCAACATGGTCCAGAATAAGTCTAATTTTCTCATTATAACTTGCCTTATTCAAATTTAATTTGGGAATCTTACTTGAGACTTAACTACTTATTACTCTACGCAGAATTTGAAGAACTTGTTCTGGTTTAGTCTGATCCAGATTTTTCTGTGTATCAGGACAATATGAGGGAGATTCAGCTGGGCGCACACACAGTTCAGTCTCATGGTGTTAAAGTAGCCAAGTCTCACAAACATGACAATGAGGAATATTCTGCTGTATGTCTGTCCAGGTGTATGATAAAGTAACTGGAAATGTTATCTGTAATGGAGCTAAAAATGTCATAAAGGAAGGTTACAAGAGTTTTCCTAGTTGTCATACTTCATGTAAGCAATATAATATCTTTTGTATTTTGACTCATTATTCATAAGGAATGCAATGTGATTATTTATATTTGGTAACTTTTAATGTAGTGGGAGATGGGAATAACTCAATTAGCATGATTTTGGTGTTCTAAATGATTTATAAGAAAATGACCTAAATATGGTGAGGGCTTCATGTTCAGCCTTCTATATCTTTAGAAGTCAATTTATTGGTGGAAATGATATATAAAGAGTAGCCCAGCAAATCATTTTTAGACAAATTAAATTGGAGGCATGTGTACCCTTCACTTTAATCCAGTTAGTGCCTTAGTGGTCTTATCATCAAATTGAAATTCCGTTAGGCATTTTGAGTTTTTACTACTGAGTCCTTGGTGTTTGCCCTTCACAAATTGGTACTGAGAGTTCCTACGCCCCGTTGACAAGGCGAGTTCCCTGAAAAATATACTTAAAATATTAGGATCTATATGATAGAGCAATTCACTAATACCGCTGTATTTCTCTTGTTCTATAAAATTTTATATGAAATAAAAGTTTAATAGAATATGATTTTTTTCTCTTGCAGGGTCCTTTGCAGGACTTGGCTTTCTTGCATTGTATTTGTCTGGGAAAATCAGAGTGTTTGACCATCGGGGTCATGTGGCAAAGCTTTGCATTGTTTTCCTCCCATTACTTATTGCATGTATGATTGGAATTTCACGAGTGGATGACTATTGGCATCATTGGCAGGATGTCTTTGCTGGTGGTCTTTGTATGATTGGAATTTCACGAGTGGATGACTATTGGCATCATTGGCAGGATGTCTTTGCTGGTGGTCTTTTAGGTCTGTGTTGTTTGAAATTGATCGTCACCCTATAACGCACTTAAACTTTGAGAACATGACCAATTAAATTTCTAGTTCTTAGTGCAAATGTAATTTGTTTGGATATAATGTTGCAGGCAGCGTAATGGCTACATTTTGCTATCTACAGTTCTTCCCTGCCCCTTATCATGATGAAGGTACCATGTCATACTTATTATTCCAAAACTTCCATAGTAATTATATGATAATTTCAGGGTATTATAAAACTTGGCAGCTTTTACTCTTTTTTTTTAAGTCTAAATAGCTGTGTCTCATATTACCAGTATATACATGAACTGGCACAGACAGATGTTCCTTCTCTTCCACCCTGTCCAAAGTCCAAACACGTGACCACATGCATGCATGAACACATTTTTTATGTATGAGCTAGCACACATAAGTGCGCAATATGATGATCTTCTTCATAATTTTTTATGTGCCAAAGCATGCAGGTGTGATCTTATGCTAAGAATTAAGAAGTTCCACTTTTGGTATTTAGTGTTGTGCTGCATTTCTGTTTCTCCCTTGTTGGCTAGAAAGGAAGGCACTTGATCGTCCTGCATATCTTGGTGATAATTGCCTTTGTTTCAACTTTTAATTAACAATATAAACCTACGCGAGGTTGGCGTCTGTTCAACCTTTTAAAATGATTGTTTGCTTTTTTTCTCCTGGACTGAACTGTTTAGAAAGAATGCTGTAGCTACAGTTACATATCTTTTCATTTCATATATGGTACAATCTGTGTCACTGTCACCAAGAGGGATTTGTTAGGTTTTAGAGATAAATAATACTAGCAGTATAGAAGTTCACCATCTAAGTGATCTTGTGATGTTTATTACAGATATCTTAACCAGATAAGTGCGTAACTTACAGAGAATGATTAAGGTGGAACCTTAGTGAACTATTAATAGCAAGAGGGATAAAGATGGAGCTGTTTCTTTCTACCTTTATGATCAAGGAAACTTGACCTTGTGATTCTTGTTCGAAGTTGAAAACTTTACTTTGAAACTGGGTTTACAGTTCTGTCTCATGACTTGTCAACCAAGAAGAGAGTTGACACCTCATCCCAAACTTTATAGTATGCAAAAAATTGATTAATCATACTTATCTTGTAATAATTATATTTAGATATTTATTCTTTTAAGTCTTCTATTAGTTAGATAATATCCAGAAAATTCTAGTCGTGGGTACTGATGTCTTTTTGTAATAATTATACCAATCACTTCTAGTATCATGACTTGATCAAAATTCAAGAAGAAACTGTGATTTTGGTTCTAGTCACGGGTACCGGTGTCCTTTTGGAAATTACCAAAATTATCAAACAAAACAACTAAGGGTTCATAAAATTGAACTGTTACACCATATAATATTATATTTTAATGCTTTTCAACTTATCATGAAACTTTATGAAAAAAATAAGCTGCTAATAAATTTTAAGGGTGTTTCATATATGTATTTACTTATGTATACATACATATTGATAACATGTATACATGCAAATAATGAGTATCATTGTCAGATGATGAGATCTTATGTATACATACATATTGATAACATGTATACATGCAAATAATGAGTATCATTGTCAGATGATGAGATTTCTCATACATGAGTAACGCGGTTGAAAATGAGTATCATTGTCAGATGATGAGATTTCTCATACATGAGTAACGCGGTTGAATCTCGCCCAAGAGAGTGTGTGTGTGTGTGTTTTTTTTGTTTGTGGGGTGGGGGGGGATATGATAACTCATTAATCTTATTTTTATTAGAGGAGATTTTCCCATATACAATAATGTGGCTTAATCTAAACCAAGTGAATCAACAAGTGAATGAAAGGAGAGATAAATCCTTATACATTTAATTGGGATTGAGCCACACTATTGTATATGAGAGAATCCGCTCGTATGACATATGCTACTCATGAACCTCATGTATATATGGTAATAATGGGTATGACGTGACAGGTAATTTTACTGAATGAGTTACCAATAGATAGATCAGTGGTTTAACCCACCTACTAATCACAACGGAGCGTGTGGACCTCATCACTCTTATCTCTTGGTGTCTCATGTTAATTAATATCTAGTATAGCAGGTGACGTGCATCTAGCTAGCTTTTCAACTCACTTTGCGAAGTGAGGTTTACCACCTCATTTAGCAAAATGAGTTACCAAGAGACAGGAGTAGACTAGTCAACATACTCTGGTATGACTCGCAAGATGGGTCTTACTACTAATCTATCTCTTGGTAGCTCATTTAGCAAATAAGCTTCTACTCCTGCCCATTTTCACACACACAACCCACATGCTCATGCATGCGCATGCCCACCTGCACCTTTTCAGATTTTAGGATCTAACTTTCTTCCTTTCAAGTGTGTTAAGCTGTCACTTTGTTGACATATATGGTAGGTCAGGTGAGGTGAAATGTTCTTCGTCCTCACATAAGTACACACTTTTAAGTGAGAATTTCAGCTACGTGTTGTAGCATAATTTTCAATGATCAATTTTCTTTAAGAGTTGGGTGACGCGAGGTGCTCAAACCCAATATATAAACCTGATTCTGTTTATTCCTCTTTGTCTTTGAAATTATCAATTCTTTTTAGTATGAAGTTAACAGATAATATTCTAATATCTTTTGGATGACATTTTTCAAGCTCGTTACACATAGCACCTAATATGTTCGTATAGTTTGTGGTTCTTCTTAACTGTTTTCTAATCAAAGAACTGAAAGAATTTTCAGATAAATTGATTGCCCCATTTCAACACAAAATGTGATAACATATACATAGCTCATTAGGATTCATGAAACCACAATTGCTTCGAATTTCTGCGTTAAACCTTTTTAAGGAATTTGTTAGTGACTTCCTTTCTTGTTGTAGAATTTGTTAGTGACTTCGTTTCTTGTTGTAGGTTGGGGACCTTATGCTTATTTCAGGATGCTGGAGGAGACACGAGGGCTGGCAAACCCAACACTTCCAGTGAACCAGCAAGCTGAAGAAAGTGTCACTATCAGATTGCCTGAGACACACCATGCACGCACCATACTCGATGAAATGGAATCCGGAAGTGCGTAAATTAAAATGTGACTCAAAGATAAATTTTGGCCTGAAATTTTTTTTAATGTACTGGTTCTAATTCATGACCCCATGTTCATGGTTTCATCACATTCCACGAGATTTATAAGGGTGAAGGACAATGGTTCAGCATGTACCTCAAACAACATCTTAGGATAGTTACTTTTTGAAATTTTGCACGAAAAGTTTGTGGGTTCAACTATGCTTACTGAATTTTGGCAGCAGGCGTAATTATCTATGGGTACTATTACAACTGAGCAACTATTCTGAGCAAGGTTTTCTAAGGCTCCATATGATGCGAGATTTTGAATGCTTCAATTCTTTGGTTATCATGAGTTCTTAGATTGCATTACGATAGAAGTGGACGCATAGAAACTGTGCGACGGAGTATTCATGTGAAATTGTGCAGATCGATTTTTGAATAGATGCGAGCATTTCATGGTTAACAATTGGAAGAAATTGGTTTATTGTGTTTTTCTACAATTGGAACGCATGCATGCATGAGTAAATTTATAGATTGGATTCAATTGATTACGAACACAATGTAAGGTGTCAGGGTTGATCGATAATAAACAGAAGTGGTTTGTGTTTAAACCGGAGGCTGAACCTTAAACATGTGAATTCCAGGTGTCACACTTTGGGATCCGGTTAAAATTTGATCATTGTGCCAGATTCATCTACTGGGGCTGGTTACCAACAAATAGAATAATGTAAGTTTGCTAGGGCATTATCCATATGCTTGGATAATGAATAAACTTTTAGTTCCTCATGCTTCAAGTGACAAGTTAGAGAAAGTGATTCATATTGATGTAATCCTCAAGGATCTTTCATGTTGTACAGAGATATTGGAGGTCTATCAAATTACGAAACTATTTTTTGGGTGTATTTTTTATTCCAAAACAAACTCATATCTTTCATTTGCTTAAGAGTTTATAACTAGATGAATTCACATGCATCTGATAACAACCATTCAAAGATCTAGCACTACACAAGTTATAGACAGTATAGATATATTTTAGAAATATGGTAAGTGCGGGTCCTAGGATTTCATGTTTGAAAACAGTATAGATATATTTTAGTGGTTTCATATATTTGCATTAATGATGCATCAAAGCTATGAAAACGTTAAACTTGTTGATTAGTATAGGGAATGAATATTGGGAAAAGATTATGTTATTTCCTTGATTCAATGAAAGAATACAATGGTCCTTATATAGAGAGAGAATGAGCTATACAAGGAAGTGAGCTATACAAGGAAGTAATACTAATATACCATGAATCCAGGAATCATAACTATACCATATATATCTATACTATATATATCTATACCATATATTCTAATATCATATATTCTAATACTTCCCCTCAAGTTGGCACACATATGTCAAACATGCCCAACTTGCTAATTAACTTGGCAAATATCTTCCTCGTTACTGCCTTGGTGAGTATGTCAGCCAGCTGATCTTCCGAGCTTACATGTGGGACGGAAATGACTTTCTCTTCTAACTTTTCTTTGATGAAGAACTTATCTACTTCTACATGCTTTGTCCTATCATGCTGAACTGGATTATGTGCAATATCGCATGCTGCTTTGTTATCACAGTATAACTCATAGGTTCTTTTGGAGGGAAACCTAGATCTGTCAGTAGTAATTTCAACCACAATAACTCTTGGATATCGATTGCCATTCCTCGATATTCTGCTTCTGCGCTTGATCGAGATACCACATTTTGCTTCTTACTCCTCCAAGTGACCAAGTTTCCCCCTACAAATGTGAAGTACCCTGATATTTTGCTTCTTACTCCTCCAAGTGACCAAGTTTCCCCCTACAAATGTGAAGTACCCTGATGTAGACCTTCGGTCACATATATTTCCCGCCCAATACCAAGTTTCCCCCTACAAATGTGAAGTACCCTGATGTAGACCTTCGGTCACATATATTTCCCGCCCAATAAGCATCAGTATATCCTTCAAACTTTCGGAAGTCCTCATTTCTTTGAAACAAGATTCCTTTTCCAGGGGCTGTCTTAAGATAGCCGATGATCTTCATAACTGCCTGCATATGCTTCTCCCCTGGATTATGCATGAACTGACTGACGGTACTCAATGCATATGATATATCAGGCATTGTATGTGCCAGATACATCAATTTTCCCACCAATCTCTGATAGCGCCCTTTATCAACGGGCACTTGGTCTGTTTCAACTTCTAACTTCACTCCGTCCATTGGAGTTTCTGATGGTTAACAAGCAGACATCCCAGCTTTATTTAGCAAATCTAGGGTATATTTTCTCTGAGATAGGAAGATGTCTTTCGATGACCTAGACACCTCGATACCAAGAAAATACTTCAAGTCCCCCAAGGTCTTTCATTTCGAACTCCTGAGATAGGTGCTTCTTCAATGCATGCTGTTCATGAGGGTCGTTTCCTGTGAGGACCATGTCATCGGCATAGACGATAAGTGTCGTAATCTTCCCATGACTCTTCTTCAAAAACAAAGTATGATCAGAATTACTTTGACTGAACCCGAACTTTCGCATCAATCTTGTGAATCTCCCAAACCAGGCTCTGGGGGATTGCTTTAGTCCATACAAGAATTTTTTTACCTTGCAGACTTTATTTGTATGCTCAATAGGGATCTTATATCCAGGTGGGAACTCCATATACACCTCCTCCTCTAACTCTCCATGTAGGAAAGCGTTTTTTACATCGAATTGTTGTAGAGGCCAGTTCAAATTAGCAGCTAATGAGAGAGTAAACCCGCACAGTATTAATCTTTGCCACGGGTGTGAATGTCTCCAGATAATCAATCTCGTGTGTCTGTGTGTAGCCTTTTTCAACTAATCTCGCTTTGAATCTTTCAATTGTTCCATCTGCTTTGAATTTCACAGTGTACACCCATTTGCATCCCACCCTCCTCTTTCCTGCTGGTAACTCGGTTAATTCCCATGTGTCATTTTTTAATAATGACTTCATCTCCTCGTCCATTGTCGATTTCCATTTTAGATTACATACAACTTCATGCACACTGTTAGTAATAGATACAGAGGATAATTGACTCACAAAGGATTTGTTAGATGTAGTTAACTGATCATAAGACACATAATTACTCATAGGATATTTGGCTTTACTTGTAAAGTCTGGATCATATGTGGATTTGGGTACACCTCTATTTGCTCGGTTGGGAAGTTGTTTTCTGGGAATAGAAGATGATACCTGGGAGGACTCAGTTTCAGGGATATCTGAAGTGGACGATTGGTTATTCGAGTCAGGCGGGGGCTGCACAACTTCATTCGACAGGGTTGTTGTTGTTACATTATCAGGAACTGGCGTTACTTCGGTTGTCTCGGTTGCCGGTGTTGGGCTTGAAGTCAACGTCGGGAGCACTTCTATTGAGCATATCTCTTCCTCACTAGTATTTCCAAATAACTGAACTTCCTTATAATGGTCCCCCTGAAGTTCAGCCCGTTCAAAGAACATAGTATCTTCGTGAAATGTCACATCCATAGTGACAAACATTTTATGTGTGGGGGATGATAACACCGGTAACCTTTTTGGGATGAGGCATACCCGACAAAAATACACTTGAGGGCGCGAGGTTCGAGCTTGTTCCGTTGCTCCTTTGGTAAGTGAACAAATATAACACATCCGAACACCCGGGGAGGAAGATTTTGTATGGTAGGAGCTGCGGCAAGTTTAGCTAAGACGTCGAAGGGTGTCTGAAAGTCAAGAGTGACGGAGGGGATCCGATTCACCAAATAAATTGCCGAGGAGAGGGCTTCACACCAATAAGATGCATGTGTCTTTGCCCCGATTAGTGATGCCCGAACGACTTCTAACAAATGGTGATTTTTTCATTCGGCAACCCCATTTTGTTGAGGGGTATATGTGCAGCTATTCTGATGAACAATGCCGTGAAGTTCGAAATATATCTGTAACTCGGTACCCATATATTCACCTCCATTATCACTGCGAAGGTCTCGAATGGTAGCGTTATACTGTGTACTGATCTGTTTATGAAATTTTTGAAACAAACTACTAACTTCACCCTTGGTCTTCATAGGAAACACTCATGTCATTTGAGTGCAATCATCAATAAATGTAACAAACCACCGTATACCACTTAAAGATGAAAGGGAGAGGGACCCCATACATCAGAATGAATAATCATAAATAGAACTGAACTTTTATTCATTGAAGGTTTAAAGGAAGTTCGATGACTTTTAGACAGTTCACAAATCTCACAATGAAAAACAGAACAATCAACTTTATTACATAAACGGGGAAAAAGTTTCTTTAAGTATCCAAACGATGCGTGACCTAATCGTCGATGCTATAGCCAAATATCATCTATAATCTTCTTCCCAAGGGTACTAGTGTTCAGAGCTGTGTTTTTCAATTCGATTCCAGGTAGTACAACTGTCCACGCCTAACGCCATAACCAATCGTCCTCTTTGTCTGTATATCCTTAAAAATACAATGAGAATGCCAGAAGATAACAACACAATGTAAAGCCTTAGTTATTTGAGAAATAGATAATAGGTTATACTCTAAAGATGGTACTACTAGGACAGAGTTAAGATTCATGGTGTTTGATAGATTAACGGGTCCTTTTCCCGTAACGGGAATCAGAGCACCGTTAGCTGTGGAAACAAAAGTCTGAGATGATGGTGTAATAGTAGTAATCATTTTTGAATTAGATGTCATATAACCAGTGGCACCAGAATCAATCACCTATGTATTATTCAAAACAGAGACAGAATGTAAAGCTTTACCAGGTGTATTTGTGGTGGTGAGTAATCCTGAGGCATGTTTGTTGCCTCCATCTGTGGTCTGATTTATCTGGCGGTTGCGAGTATCCTTCCACCAATCAGGATAACCGATGATTTCATAGCATCCCTTTTTCGAGTGTCCTGTCCTCCCACAGACAGAACATAGGGGATATTTGGAAGATGAACCCCGAGGATTTGATTGAGATGCATTTGTCCGGTTCCCAGATCCGGTTGTTCTCTCCGAGTTTCGCCAATTGGGAGTACGGGTTATCATAGCTGTAGTATCTTTCTCAGTTGTCATTGCCTGTCGTCGGAGAGCTTCTCGTCGAACCAGGGAATAGACCTCTTCTAATTCAGGAACGGGACCTTTCGCTCACCCCGGATTTGTTCAAGATCATTATCCAACCCGGCAA